AAAAAACTGTCTTAACATCAAGTGTCAACCACTACAAGTTTAAAAATGTGTATTTGATATTGAGTGGATGAATAAAAAGTACTTTATTAACGATTCAAAATTTGAACAAGCTGTACGGAGAGTGTAAACTAACAGTAGGAATTGAATAAAATTCAACGCAAGATAACATCAGAAAATACAAACTGTAACATTATATAGTATCAAAACCAATGCAAAATAATGTTACTCTAGATCAGGAATGGGTAAACTTTTTTGGTCGAGGGCCAAAAATCGAGAAAAAAAAAATGTTTGGTGGGCCAAATAAAACTTTCAAATTTTTTAAAAAAAAGCGATATGCAAGCTTTAATTTAAATATTTAGTGAGATGAATGAAATTGAGATTTCATTTTTAAAAGTTCCTTATATTAACGTTCGAAATGAGATGTGCTTATTTTAAGGAACAAGGCTAAATGTTTTTCTGTTAGTCCACTTCCGAAATGTTTTTTTCTAAGGTTCATACTTGAAAACTCTCGTTCACATATGTAAGATTAAGTAAACATAGCGCTGATTTTCTGGGCATGAAGTATTAAATTTTGGAAACTAGCTTTAGGTAATGATTTGAAAAACTTTGGCATATTTAGAAACGACTGCTTCAGATGATTGTTAGATTGTCCGCTCTTTGGAGTGTAAAATGCGCAGTCTGCCAAATGTGAAGTACAATTTACGTACATTAGATTCCTCGAGAAAGACAAACGCTAGTTAGAGCCAATCTAAGGCTATTCTATGACGAACTTCTGCTTTCAACATCTTACCAATTGAAGCTGTCTGTGCTAACTATTTCCATCAATTTATGTTTTGCAGAACAAAAATAGAGAAAGTAAAAAGGTCATCAGTACTTTGTTAAAAAAGGAAAAACAAAAATAATTTTAATTTTGCCACTGATCGGCAAATTAAAATTCTATCCGCGGGCCCATATTTGCCCATCTCTGCTCTAGATGATATTAGTTTGTATAAAATCGAATGTTATGTAATGCAGAGAAAAAAACGATCTTTTGTATCTTCCTAATATTAGAAAGCTGCGCAAGATAACGTTCGACTACTCGTTTTCTGATGTTATCTAATATTAGGTGCTCCTTGAGTATTTACTTAATTCCGGCGTATAACGCGCACTTTTAATACAAAAAATAACATTGGAATTGACGGGTGCGCGGTATGCGCCGAATATAAAAAATTATTGATTAAAAAAATTTAAATGTAGAAAAATACTTTTATTTTAAAGAAATAACATACCTTTACCTATATACTTTATTGATTTTCGTTATTACATAAATAGTTCATTATATTCGCCTTCCGTTATTTCTTCAGGCACGTCGTCACAATCTGTTTCGTCTTCATCATCTGTGTTACCCTCATCCATAAATAAACAGTCATCTTCTGATCCGTCCAGATTATTTGAAATGCTGCATTTTTTGAATGATTTTCTAACCATCTTAGGCTTAATTTCATCCCATGCTTTTAATATCCATTCACACACAGTTTCCAAACTTGCATGACGCATATGTCCTCCTTTCATAAAGGTTTTCTCGCCCTCCAACATCCAAGTGTTCCACAGTTCTTTTAAAATTGTCTTTAAATGGTTTGTTTAAGCAGATGTCCAATGGCTGAACTAATGATGTCAATCCGCACGAAATAACTGCCATATCCGTGTTACATTCATTCAACAATTTTTTTTGTATTATCTGTAAGGTGGGACCTAATCATGTCCCACACTAAAAGGCTTTCTGGTTATCTATTGATACTAGACGAGATATTGCACATGTACAATCCAAATTTTCGTGCGCGTTATACGAAGAGTATACCTTAAAATTTAAAAAAAGTTATTAGAAATTACGGGTGCGCGTTATACGCCGGGGCGCGTTATGCGCCGGAATATACGGTACTTAAATTATCTGGAAAATTTGGTTTGAACACACTCTTTTTTTTCTTATCGCAAACAATAAACTTTTGACATTTACAGATTTTTATTCATTTTCGATAAGTTCGTATAGACATGTTGCCGTGAACAACCGAAATCAGGAGAATGTCGACCTTCACTGGTAAATGTCAACAATCACATAGTCGCTTTGGCAAATTTAGATACGAAATATTTGTTACATCCGATTGGATATTAATTTATTCATTGATATTATATTTATTTAATATTTACTGAGGATAGATTAGGAGAAACATCAGTGTTCAGAGTACCAATTAAATGTATACTAGGCACTTGACCATAAAAAAACATTGATGAAAGGCATAGTGAGTAAATGTATACCGGGCAGTGACACTTAAGTAGACTTAGTATATATTTCGGACGTATACCAAAGCGACTATGTGATTGTCAACATGCTCTTTGGCATGAATTCTGCATCAAAGGGCATGTGATTGCCTTTTGATGCAGAATTTTTATTAAATATCTTCTTTATACATTATTTTGTATTAATTTAAATCAAAATAAGCGAAAACTATTTAGTATCTTAATAATTTATGGTTATAAACTACAGCATGAAATATCGGCGTGTTTTTCTGCGTTAAAGGTAAAATTTCCCAAACACTTTTTCAAAATTGCATTTCTTTTCATCAGTTATTTAGATTTAAAGAGAAACGATTATTCACCATTGAAATTTCTTTTATCTACAAAATTTATTTTTGATAAATTTTTGAATATGAACGGAATTGTTTTTTTTACAAATTACTTATTTGGATTTTATATTTCAAAGCAAATATTATTCCGAGAATCTCAAAGAATTTTTGTAACAGTTTTTCATAATTAAAAAACACCAAAATATATAGATGAAAGCTAAGCGCAGATGGCGCTAGGAGTTAAAATTCGCCGTAAGACTTCCGGGTTTCTACTTCCGACTGATTTTTACGCCTAAGCTTGAAAAAACGCACTATCCAATATTATAAATACTTGCAGTATTTTTAATATAACTGCGTTCTTTCAATTTAACTTTCAACGAAACAAACAACAAATGAATTCGAAAGACTCCAGAAGCTTGCTATGATGCTACCCAAAAAATAACCCACAGCGCTATTTTTGCACAAATATAGCCAAATAAAGGATAACATTCAAAACATGTCTAACATTACACTTTATTTATGATGTGATATTAATTTATTACGACCTCTTAGAATTTATGAGTTACAGAAAACTTTTACGACGGGTAAATTAAAACACAAATCACAATAATAAAACTTCTTAGCATATTAAGCCTGTTCACATATCACCTCGTAATCATAACATACGCGGAGGGATACACCGGAAGTTTTCTAAATTTCTTCCGGTTTCAAGAAGCTTTTTTATTGTTTACATTCAGTCAATCATCTACAGTCCGTGGCCAAATAATTAGACGCCCTATAAGATTCTATGTAAAATCTTAATTATCAGGTGCTATAGAGCTTTATTGTTTTTACGTGACTGAAACAGGTTCATTCTTGTTTAATGTGCGTGTATCAATTGTCTAACATTGTATCGCGATACGTTAAAAATAAATACAAATAGGAAGTATATAAAAAATCTCCTGAATAAAAACCCATTACATGCATGTTTATACATAAAAGCAGGGGAGAGTGGGGTCAATTGTAACAGGGTACGATTGTAACAGAGCAAATATTTCGAGTGTCGGGTTCTAGATTCGGTTCCTACGTGGCGCACAAGGTGTATTTAATAAATCTACATGTACACCCCTGCTGGCAACCATTTTTATGTACTTTTGAAATAGTTATATCACAAAAGATATTTTCACGCTACGTAAGTACTTTTTTTGGTGTTAGAATATTATATTGTAACATAGTAATTTTGTTTAAACAAATAAAAATTATTCACCGAATATGTAAGCGGACACCTTCATTAACATTTTAAGAAAAAAAAGATTAGTTTTGTTAATTAGCAAGCATTGTTTTTAACAAATGAAGCTGAAATGGTGACTTGGGGACGATTGTAACAATAAGTAAAGGGACGACTGCAACAGCTGAAAATAAATAATCTTATGTTTACAAACCATTACTTAACTCCTTAAGAACCACCAATAGTTTCCTATATCATTTATATTATGTTGCATGTGCATTATTTCATTTGTCACCTTTCACAGCATAAATTAAAATTTTTAACCCCTTAAAGTTAAAAGTTTAACCCTTTAGGTCTCTGCTCATTATTATTTTTACTCCTAAAATATCACTACTATTTTGATCAATAAAAAAATATATCACAACTATGATAATATGTATAATTAACTATGTTTCAGTTGAATTTATGAACTGTTACAATTGACCCCGTAAGTGGGGACAATTGTAACAAGTGCGCGACTGTCAAAAATTGTTAATCACTAATATAATAACATTTAAAATAAGTTTTTTTTTCTAGTAGAGGATAGTCTACTTTACTCGTCTGTCAATTAATACTGATAATATATTGGATTTTCTGTTAGTTAAAAATAGTTAAGCAAAAAATGTTACAATTGACCCCACTCTCCCCTATTGCCTATAAACTCCTGCAAATCATGTAACTATTAAAAAACTAGAGTACGTCTAATCATTTGATCTAATTATTATAATATACTAATATAATGCTTGAAATAATAAATATTCTATATTTACATAATATATCGTCTAATTTATTCAATAGTCTAATTCATACTATATATGATCTAATTAAATTAATTGATTCACGAACGGATACAAGTACAAACCGGTTTCAGTCGCGTGAGAACGATAAAGCTGTATAGAGTATCAGCTGATAATTCAGATCTTACATAGAATCTTATACTGCGTCTAATAAGTTGGCCAGATACTGTATTTTAAATTGTAATTAGAGAGACAGAAAAGAAGAAAAAAAATGTGTATAAAAGAGACGTCCCACCTGCGTCAAAGGGTCATCTTCTCAAAAACCGATTGCGTTTTTCATTGTAAATCTTAGATTACGCGAATCTCTTCTCCGCATCAATTATGAATGGAATGATAAAAGAAGTGTTCCGCCACTAGGTGTCGGTGTTAGAGAGAGAGTGAAAAAGACGACAGGTAATGGAATCAACAGATGTCGGAATGGAAGGTGAAGAGAAAAAACGTTCTCGTTTTCAGGTAGAGCCCGTGGAACAGGTGGGAGAATGCTCCGATACATGCAATACTCGATCACTCTGCCACTATACACAAGAGGCACTTCCTCGCCTTGACCACTACAGAAATATTCACTCATTACACGCTCATCAACCCCGGCCCACTTTGGATGAACTGCACAACGGAAATGTCGAGGAACAGGTCAGTTATTTTAAGGTCCTTAGTGTGTAGAAAAATATTCTGTTAAAAGTCGCTTTAAAAAATAATACAGGTAAAAAAAACCTCGCTGCAACAATATCTTGAGAACCAAATAAATATATCGTTGTAGAGGGATATATTGGGTATATCGAGGACCTACATAGTTTGGGGACACAGTAAGATTTTTTTTAAATTTTAATGTTATATATGTAAACTATAAATGTATTTACATAATAAGCAAAAAATTAATTTGCAGAATGTTAATTATGGTTAAATATTAAAAACAATTGAAATAAAATCAGAAAATGAGATCGTAAACATATCATTTTTATTGAAAATAATCTGATATTTTTGTTTGTTTATTAAATTTTTTTGACTGTCAAGTCAACCAACAAAGTATGCATTGAATTCAAAGCACGAAAATGATTTTCGTTTGTGAATGGTGCTCCACCCAGGGTCTGATTATCGCCTTGGCCCCACAATTTCTTCGGGGCCTCAAAAATATTACTGTTTACCTTTAAATACTGAAAGAAACCGTTTTTCTCTTAATTTTTTAAGATGTGTTAGAATCTTAATAAATTATTTAATTTTCTATAAGTATATATAATTTTTGCCTTTTTGAATATTTTTTCTGAGTTGAAATGCATTTTTGTAATAAAAACTATAATTAATAACCTTAATATCTTAGCATGCATGCTGAACTTATCTTTAAATCGAATGAAAGGTGGGCTAGATTTGCGTTGGTTTAAGTACTAGATAAAAAATAATTACCGCTTACAATAGAAAATAATTCTGCTAATCAGTGACTTTTAGCAAAAATCAATAATTTCAATTGTTTGTGGTCACCAAACTATTTTTATTTTGACGTACAAATGTTTTGTTGTTTTATATTTAGCTTTACTATTTAGATAAGCATAAACTTTATCTTAGAAAAATAATCTTCAATTGTCTGCTTTCAAAATTTCTTAGAATGTTTCTCTTGAATCCAGCAGTTCAATAGATTCTCTTTTATTATTAGGACTACTCTTCAGTAATTCAATTTCAAAATATTCTGTAAAGGGCCCTGAAAATTTGGTGGGCCTTGGGCCCGAATTTGTCTTGATCGGTCCCTGGCTCCACCCACCCTCTGCAGAAAAAACTGTCTTTCAGGTGTTAATATGATGCTTGAGGTCATTTGTGACTCATAATCAGCTTTTAACATGAAGGAATAAGAAATCAGATAGGAATGTTACATCTGTCACTTCTTAAGAGATAATTCTAAGAATGGAAGCGCTTGGGGTGGTCAGCAGTAAGTCTTCCCTTGTCAGAAAAGGTGGGGAAAATGGCAAAATAGGATAAAATAAGACTTTTTATATTATTTGAAAACCAATAATAAATGGAGAAAATAAAGTTGAAATTTGGAAAGAGAAAAAAAAATCGCTTTACAGGGGTTTATTGCTTCAGTAAATATCATAATATTGAGAGGAACATGACATTAATTCATATGCAAGTTCGTCGGGGGCACGAAACACTATCGCAATAAAGGGAGTTATTGTTGTATTGGAATCGCAGTAGCGGGAGTTCACTGCATAATTCAACTTTTTAATTTCAAATGAAAGAACAACATGGAGTCAGTGAGAATTTTGTTCGTTAAAAGTTAGATTTTGCAAGAGAAAAGAAATCTTTGGTTACTAAGACATTATTTAGAGAAATTTAAAAAAAAAAATATTCGAACACATATTATGATCCATCAAAATATTTAATACATTTGAACGCTTTCATACGCTTTATATATTTGAACGCTTTCATGTTTGATTGTTATTTGAATGAATATTTTGACTAAACTTTGACTTATCCTAAAACTTATTATATGTGAACGGTTTCTAGTTTATGTATTATTGTTACTCGAATGAATATTAAGTCTATTTTTCACTTATGGCTTATCCTAAAACTTATTATATATGAACGTTTTCTAGAGTGGAAAATTTCTATAAATTTGTTAAGAAAATGCTATGAATTTTTACTTTGAACATATCCAATATTTTTAAATTTAATAATGAAATATTTGTATTCATTTTCAGTGATATATTAGATAGCTGGATGCATATTTTTTTGTGATCTTTTTCCGAAAAATAGCCCCATATCACTGACTAGTGTAAATAGAAGTTATTAAATAAATTATTTATTGTATTGTACGCTATTAAAAAAATTCAAAATTGAACTAATTTTAGTTTAAAAAGATACTGTCTGCATAAATTTAGCTCACCAGAATTGTTGTTATACGTCTGCTTTAAATATTGTTGAAATCTGCAACTCTTTGGTTTTGTAAATATTTTTTTTTAATAACTAACTATGATCTAATTAAAAAAATAAACTGTTTTATTGACAAATGACAATAAAAGGAGTGTACAGTGCGCAAAAACAAAAAAGGACCAACCTGAATAACTTTCGATGTAATAATAGGATTTGCGTGTTGTAGATCTCAATCTTAATGGCACGAGGGAGTGACCTCAAATACGCTAATTTATAAGAGCAGGAGATAATTTAAGTTACGAAATCAGATATTAAAACGCACTTTATTTGAATAAACATACCTTTTTTTCGACGGATTCGAATTTCTGCCCCCAAAATATAGAAGGTAGCCGCAATCTGGGAAATACAGTCTCAATAGTTTGATCAGGGGAGCACTGCAAAGTTTGTACCCCTTAATGTTAATTTTATCTTAAAGCGAATTGTAAAATTTTCGCACTCAATTATGAAATTCGTTTACCCAAAGATAATTCCATGCAAAAAATAGCTTTCAGTAAATATTATTTTTTAGTATTTTATTTTAAGATGACTGAAAAAATTTTGAATTATAAAGGTACACAATTTTTTGCATCATTTTAAAGAATTTAATTTTAAATAGCAAAATACCAAATTTGAACAAATTCGGTTCCTTTGAAATCGAATTTTAAGTATCTCACCCAAAATAAGGAAGAAAAAAAAGCTTGTTGCGCTTAAATTGAAGCTTTACCGCAGAGGCATTCTCATCACATATGGCAGTACTTTTACTTTCGTTACTTGTACCGCCGGTACAAGTAAAAAGTACGTAGTTTATCCTAATTCNTACTTTGAATTTTCGATTTCCTAGAAATGTACTTTTAAATCGTTACTTTTTTTGTTTAGTACTTGTACTTTTACTTGTACTTTTTACTCGTTACTTTTTAAAATAAGAACTTTTTACTTTTTACTCGTTACTTTTTTTAAAAATACTTGTACTTTTACTCGTTACTTTTTAAATGTAACGTTGCCATATATGATTCTCATTGCTTGAGTTGAAGGACCTGCGAACGATTTTAACCAATCAGATTCGAAAATTTTTTTGCACTCTGCTTCGTTGCTAAACTTTAAAAATAGTTGCCTGAAATCGCTACAAATTGCTGTTTTTTGCTTTTGTATCGCACAACACACTACAGTACTTCTTTTAAAAATCAGCACAAGACCACCGAAAAAAAGTAGCGACTACAGTAGTTTTCCCACTTGTAGCACGGTACTTCCGACAACTGGATCAGCATTACACTTCCCACTTGTAGCGCGGTACTTCTGACAACTGGATCAGCATTACACTTTCCACTTGTAGCACGGTACTTCCGACAACTGGATCAGCATTACACACAGACCGCTTTTTTCCCCCAGACAAGTGTACCTATCGATCTGAAGAAGATGAATTTCAAGCAGGAACTACGGGATGAACTCCAATCTTTCTCAAAAACAGCTCATCATTATCTCTTCATGCATTTGATTTTTACAAGACTCAATTTTGGGGTTTACAACTAATGTTCAACTCCGTAACCTGTAATTTTGAATCTAATCCAGAAGACAATGGAATTCCTGGATCAAGTACTGGGAGAAATTTGTCTTCGTGGAGGACTTTTTGATGGAACTTACTCCCATTTGCGTTACATGGAGAGGGAAATCACGAAAACCTCCCACTGTTAGCCTGGCGGCAAGCGGACTCTAACCCATGATTCGTCTACCACTGAGGATACTTTACGTCAGCACTGTGGACGGTGCTAGCCATCGCTGCGATTCGAATCTGATTCACCTCACTGAAAGGTGAACGTTCTATCAACTGAGCCCCCCCACGTTTCTATTGCTATGTACTGAAATCAATGAGTTCCAGAAACAGGCTCTTGTGAAAGTTACACAGAAACTTTCTTCAAAAATAAAGGAAAACAAAAAGACACACCACCGAGAAATTCGTTAAAGGACATTCTTTTATGGTGAACATTTTAAATGTTATTTCCATAAAAATTGGACATAGAAAGAAATTAGCTGAGGTGCGATTTCGTGGTAGGGGGACTCTACTTAAAAAATACCTAGGAAAATCTAATAAAGTATCTAAGATTCCAACAAATAGAAACATTGGCACTCGAACACGAGCTTTCACTTTTATTGAACTTTGATACAATGAACTAGCCTTTGTAATGATTTCGTTTTTCGAAGATTGCTTACGCTGTACCTCCCCCACTGTTTTATTAAACAATGTAATATTTTCACTTTCGAATATCGATGTTACCGCATAAGTGGCGCAGCATCTACAGAGCCCCTATGTCAGTTTAAGTTTTAGTTCTATGGTTTAGAAACTGAGCTAGTTGTAAATGATTACAAAACCGTATAGTTTTGTAGCCACGATTTCAAAACAGTAAAGGTAAAAAGTTGTTCCTAACTATAAACCTTACGGGTATTCGAATAGACAGACGGTTATTTTACCCCAATTTCAGAACATTCTAATTTTCAGAAATTCGAACAGTGTGCAACTAAAGTCAAAAAATTTTTCCACGCACTCTTATAAGAAATAACTATTTTCCTATTGTTTATTTTAGATTTGTATAGAGTTTTAAGTCATATTATTTAAGAATCGATTTGAGTATTCATACATGATTACGCAAAATAGTTGGGTGAATTCAATAGGTAAGTTATTTGTAGTAGTTAATAGGTTAATGTGAATGAACGAAATAGGAGGTTGTTGATTTCCACCA